CGGGCCCAGGAGATGACATCTTAAACTGACAATTGCAGCAGTTTTGTCTTAGTTTGACCATGACATTGTGCTGTCCATTTCCAGCCTCTCCGTCGGCAGGTCCACCCAAGCTCACTGGTTTCATGTTGGAAGAACACTGGAGTCCCATAACGCTAGCCCTTGCAGTCACATCTACTTCCCTGCGCCAAGGCCCACCGGCTAGAGCAAGGGTCCCACCCACGCCTCGGGCTTCACCCACCGGCTAGAGCAAGGGTCCCACCCACGCCTCGGGCTTCACCCACCGGCTAGAGCAAGGGTCCCACCCACGCCTCGGGCTTCACCCACCGGCTAGAGCAAGGGTCCCACCCACGTCGGGCTTCACCCACCGGCTAGAGCAAGGGTCCCACCCACGCCTCGGGCTTCACCCACCGGCTAGAGCAAGGGTCCCACCCACGCCTCGGGCTTCACCCACCGGCTAGAGCAAGGGTCCCACCCACGCCTCGGGCTTCACCCACCGGCTAGAGCAAGGGTCCCACCCACGCCTCGGGCTTCACCCACCGGCTAGAGCAAGGGTCCCACCCACGCCTCGGGCTCACCACGGCTAGAGCAAGGGTCCCACCCACGCCTCGGGCTTCACCCACCGGCTAGAGCAAGGGTCCCACCCACGCCTCGGGCTTCACCCACCGGCTAGAGCAAGGGTCCCACCCACGCCTCAGGCTTCACCCACTGGCTAGAGCAAGGGTCCCACCCACGCCTCGGGCTTCACCCACTGGCTAGAGCAAGGGTCCCACCCACGCCTCGGGCTTCACCCACCCCCAGCCACAGCTCACTGTGACAATGTCGAGCGACATCATTGGTCCCTTGGACCGCAGGAAGCAGGCCTGACTTTTAAGTAATTAGTAACACCTAAGGACAATGAAATCGCATTAGAGGCAATTTTTGGAAGCATTTGTTTAAGGATTAGGTATGACTGGTGTCCTTTCCTATAACGCATTTATTTTGAAAATAAGAATCTCAACACACATGATGAAAAAAATACAGGCATTCAAATCAAATTTTATAGTGAGAATAAATAAATGTGCTATATACAAGTGATGGGAACAAAAGAGAAAAGAAAAAGGGAAGCAATGAGTAATGAATACCGAGTCAAATGATCATGCGAGACAGCAGTTCTCTGTTAAGGCGGTCTTACTCTCACGGCCTATGCAGGTATCTTTTGTAGAGCAAACAGCTCAATCGATTTTTAAAATTAGGAAGGATGCCGAGAGAGGTAGTCCCCAAATAAACTCGCTGTAATTCCTATTACACGTATCACTCAACATGGGAGCTCACTGTTCCTGTGTTGAACTGGGCCTTTTTCCTGAAAGTAGGAGAGCCCAGGCCACTTGAGTCGGCAAGGGATCTCGCCCTCCCCACCAGGCTGCACACAGGGCAGGCCCCAGCTCGCCCTCCCCACCAGGCTGCACACAGGGCAGGCCCCAGCTCGCCCTCCCCACCAGGCTGCACACAGGGCAGGCCCCAGCTCGCCTTCCCCACCAGGCTGCACACAGGGCAGGCCCCAGCTCGCCTTCCCCACCAGGCTGCACATAGGGCAGGCCCCAACGCACTGCGCCGAGCAGTCAGCTTGCTCCTGTCCCTGTCACCTGTTCCCACCCAACAAAACCCACTGTGCGCTACTGCCCACTGGAAACACCCCTCTGCTTTTACAGAATAAGGTGCTGCCGGATTCCAAAAGAACAAATAGAAGTCAAATGACACTCTTAAACTTACTTTGGTTGTAATTTTGCTTTTTGACAAAAGATGTCTTTTCCACAGCAATGCAGAAGGAATATTCCACATTTCTACACAATACATCAACAACTGCCATGAAGAGCCATGCGTCCTGCCAGCAGACCCTGCTTAGCCCCTCATGCACTCCTGTGATCCGACTCTCCAGGGTTCAACACAAAGCAGTGAAACAGCTCACACCAGCGACAGCCAGGGCGCCCTTCAATTTGCGTGTGTAAATTCAAGAGGCTCAGACTGTTCAGTGAGAGACGGACGAAGGAACGGGCACCACATGCTACACTACATTTTTCTGTCACTTCGTCTAATACACAAACTAACTTCATCATCGGCGAGGTGACATGACCCTGTGCTATAATAAAAACACCGGGCCTCCGTGCTTGGATCCTGACAGTTTAAACAACGAAACCCTGAGAATTCCCTGAGTGACAGCAGTGTCCTTGTTGTGCTAACAGGGAACTGGTCGGAGGCTTCCAGAAAGCTCCAGGGGAGTGGATTCCTACAAGGAGGGCACACGTGATTACAGCATGGGAACCCTGGCGCAGCCGCACATCCTGCAATGGCAGGAAGTGACACGGCATCCTAGCACGTGTCCCACAATTAATCAACCATGCCAGCACAAAGAAACCCCACTTCAAGCCTCGGGACACCGATGCGCGCTGGCACTGCCCGAGTGCTGCTGGGATCCCACGAGGAGCGCCAGATACTCTGACTCATTTCCCTGCCTTGACTTCATGGGATCCCCGACGCTTAGTTCCTCAGCTGTGTCCCTTTAACAAAACTGTCATGCTAGATGGAGCTTGCAGGCTTGCGAGGGCTGTAAGCACCAGTGGCCCTCAGGGCTGGTGGCCGTGGGAGTTGGGCCTCTGCTTGCAGCTGCCAGCTCCCGGTCAGGCAATCGTCCTGAGCGCTGCACCAGCCCGGCTGGGTCATGTCAGAATGCAGCCGAGTTGTGGGACACTCAGCCAGGCCCAGAAAAGTGTTTCTACCACAGACATCAAAACCACTACTGACAAACAAAGCAAATAACCAAACCAAACCTAACTTAATCAAAATCGTGCTTAAATGACACCACCTAGAAAACAAAAAGACAACTCATGCAATAGAGGGGACATCTGCAAATCATACGTATAATAACTACATCTACAATATATAAACAACACTCACATATCAATAATCGAGCAGTAAAACACCCAGCTTAGCAAACAAGCTAACGGCTGAGGCAGACGTAAAAGATACACAAAGGGGCCAAGAACTTCTCATGACCTTCACTGTGGCCCTCCTTGTTGGGCGGTGTCTCACCAACTGGCTCCTGTCTTCTACCTGGGAACAAATTTCTTCGGTTAAACTTCTGTCTATGGGCCAGGTGCAGTAGCCTAGCAGTTAAAGTCCTAGTCTTGCATTTGATGGGATCCCATATGGGCGCTGGTTCTAATCCCGGCAGCCCCACTTCCCATCCGGCTCCCTGCTTGTGGCCTGGGAAAGCAGTGGAGGACGGCCCAAAGCCTTGGGACTCTGCACTCACATGGGAGACCCGGACGAAGTTCCTGGCTCCTGGCTGTGGGAGTGGCTCAGCTCCAGCTGTTGCAGCCACTTGGGAAGTGAACCAGTGGATGGAAGATCTTTTTCTCTGTCTCTTCTCCTCTCTGTATGTCTGCCTTTCCAATAAAAACAAAATAAATCTTAAAAAAAAAAAAAGAAATAGAAATGCTAACACGTTTACTTCCAGAATGTTCAGAGATTAAATTCTGCATGGTGTTTCTACCGTAGGTGTCTAAGTTCAGTGTTCCAAATTTTCGTTCTGATGTTTCTATGTAGCACAGGAAACAATTCTTTCCACAGATATAATTATGCCACAGACAGCTTTTGCATTGTCATAAAGCATTCCTGGTATGTTCAATGAGGAAATAAGGTTAGAATCCTGTGCTTCTCACGTTGCCAGTGAGATATCTCCATGAAAACGAACCCCGGGGCTGTGTCAGCCACGCGGGCAGCGGGCTCAGCCGTTGGCGCTAGGCCTGTTCCACAGGGACACCGGGACATCCCACCTGCTCCACTTCCAATCTAGTCGCCTGCTTAAGCACTCGGGAAAGCAGATCTCCGGCCCAAGTGCGCCCAAGTGCGAGGCTCGGACCCAACTTCACGCTGCTGGGTTCTCCCGGCCGAGTCCTGGATGCCGTAGCAATCGGGGCAGTGAAGCAAATTCTGCCTTACAAATATTTTAAAAACAGAACACGCTGCCCCCAGCTTGGGGGCTGGAGGAAACTCGATGTCTCAAAGGAAACAAAGGGGTGGTTCTGTGCCGCTGGCTCAGGTGGAGCAGCAGACCGGGGCGGGGCGCGGGGCAGGGCTCAGTGCGCTCACACACCGAGCCACACCCGGCTCCAGGGAAAAACTCACTGCAGTCCAACATTCCCCAGTGCGCTCAGGCTTGTTCTAACACGAGGGCCGTGCTGCTGCGTCCGTCTGTAAGACGTCAGCCGGTGCGCCCTGCGCCTCCACACAGCGCTGCCACTGGCCACTGCGAGGCAGGGCACTGGTCACTGCGGGGAAGGCCAGCAGTCGCACCTGCATCTTTTTCAGTGTGTTTTTCCCCCTTTGGAGGGCAACAAAGACGCTTCTTGCAGGCGCAGCTTTTCAAAGACCCTTGGCTCCGCTGTGGGTCGGGGCCTGCCCCCCGAGGCCGGCAGTTCGCACCCTCAGAGTCTGCACACACTTCTCCGGCACGGCCGCCCTCCCGACGGCCGCAGCTCGGGGCGCCCTCCCCTCCCTCTCCATCCCTGCAGGATGCATTTACCTGGTGCCGTCCGACCAGGGAGCCTGCCTCCCAAGCCTGGAAGCCGCGGGACCCGCCTGGCCACGCAGACACCGCGGGAGCAGGCGAGCGGGCTGGCGGACGGTGGCCTCCCGGATCCCGGCGTCCACCCAGGCCCGCCCAGGCCCCTGACCACCGACCAGCCGCCGGTGGAGCCTCCGCAGCCGCAGCTCCGGGACCGCCGAGCAGCTACGGCCTGCAGCAGCGCCCACTCTCCGCGCCCCGCCCCTCGGCGCAGGCCCCGCCCCGGAAGTCCCCGCGCCCCGGCCTCCTGGGTCCCGCCTCTTCCGCGTCGTCTCCAAGTGCGAGCGGGCTCCGCGTCTCGCTGTCGGCCAGCTGGCTAGAGCGTCCTCCCGCGTCGCGGCGCGCTGACGGGGCGCGGCGCGGAGGCTGTCGGGAAGTAGGCGGGGTGACGTGGGTCTGAGCGGCGCGGCGGCGGGCTGGCGAGGCGTCGGGCCGGTGGCCGCTGGACTCGCGGGGGGATCCGGGCGGCTGTGTGCGGCTGCGGCCATGACGGGCAACGCCGGGGAATGGTGCCTCATGGAGAGCGACCCCGGGGTCTTCACGGAGCTCATCAAAGGGTTCGGTGAGCAGCAGGCGGACGGCCCCGGGCCGGGGGTCGAGGCGCCTGGCCGAGGTTCGAGGCCCCGGGCCGGGCGTGCGGTGGCTGGCCGCGGCCACTGCAGCGGGGAGCGGCTCGGGGCGCCTGGAGCCCGGGCCGGAGGTGGACGGGCGCTCGGGGGCGGGACTCGCCTGCGGGGTGGTCAGGTGCAGTGCGCAGGACGGCGCCCCGGCTGCATGGAGGTGCGGCCACCGTCCCGTCGGGGGACACGCGCTCGGGCAGTAGAACCGGCCGCCTCGGGCCTCCGGCGTCCTCATGACTGTCCCCACGGCCTGCCGTCCTGACCCACACGGTGGCTTGTCTTATCCTCGTCAGACCCGAAACTTCCTCTTTGGGCAGGGAGGTTTTTTTTTCTGTAATTATTTTAACTATCATTGTTGTAGGTTTTTTTTTTTTTTAAGGATTTACTTATTTTTGTCTGCAAAAAGATCTTCCATCCACTGTTTCATTCCCCAAATGGCCACAACGGCTGGGGCTGAGCTGATCCGAAGCCGGGAGCCAGGAACTTCCTCCGGGACTCGCACGCCGGTGCAGGGTCCCAAGGCCGTGGGCCGTCCTAGACTGCTTTCCCAGGCCACAAGCAGGGAGCTGGATGGGAAGCGAGGCTGCCGGGATTAGAACTGGCATCCACATGGGATCCCGGCGTGTAGACAGAGGATTAGCCCTTCCATTCCTCTGGCCCCCTAGCTGTGAAGTGCAAACTTAACTTGGCCTGCTGCCGACACTGGCGCCTCCAGCGGGCTTCCCCGAGTGACAGCTTCTGTGGACACCCTGGCGGACGGCACGCGGTGATGGCCCAAGGACCCGGTCCCTGTGCCCCAGTGGGGGACGCCCGTTCAGTGCCCAGTCACTGCAGACAGTTGGATGCACGACAGCTGTGGTACTTATTCCCCCTACCTCTGGAATGTTAGCGAAACCCACTGAACTGTTACCTTAAAAACTCCATAGAAGGCCTGGGCAGGTCGCCTAGTGGCTAAAGTTCTGCCGTTTTACGTGCCCGGATCCCATGTGGGCACTGGTTCTGATCCCAGCGGCCCTACTTCCTACTCAGCTCCCGTCTTGTGTCCTGGGAAAGCAGTGGAGGGTGGCCCAAATCCTTGAGACCCCGCACCCATGTGGGAGACCTGGAAAGAGCTCTTGGCTCCTGGATTTCGACTGGCTCAGCTCCAGCTGTTGCTGCCGCTTGGGGAGTGAATCAGAGGATGGAAGATCTTCCTCTCTGTCTCTCCTCTCTGCATATCCACTTTTCCAATAAAAACAAATCAATAAATAACACCTCCATAGAACTTGAAATAGCATTTTACCGACATTTGCATGTTGTCTCCAAGGCTTAGTATTTGAACAGATCAGGTCTGTATTACTGGCTGTGTTTCGGACATGCTGATGAAAGCTGTACGTTTGTAATGCAGCTTAACTATGACTGCTGCTCTGAAGGACTGACAGATTCTGCTGTGGGGTGTTCACAGTTCAGCACAGATTGACCAGTGTGGAAGGATACCAGTCAAGGGCTCAGGCGGAAGGAGACAGTATTGCGCAGGAAACTGCCTGCCAGGTGACGGTGGCACACAGGAGTGTGCTGGAGCTCTGCCTGGGTCTGAGGTGGATGCAGTTAGCCGCCATAGTGTGTGCCAACTTGCACACTTTGCATTGCTCTTGGTGGCCGATGGCATTGAAGTGTTGCCTGTGTTGCAGGGAGGGGATTGGAGGGGAGTGGTGACCTCACATGGGCCGAGTCTGAGGTGGTTGACCGTCTGGACATGATGGGATGCTGAGTGGAACAGGTGGCTCTAGTGTGCAGTGTTTAAACCAGCCGTTGCATGTGGAAATCCCTTCTCCTCGCTCCTTGGGGAGGAGGAATCCATCCGTTACATGCTACATTACCGGAGTTCTCAGGGCTGCCCGCCTTCCAGGAGAGGCTGAGCAGTAGTATATTGCTCCAACACAAGGAAAAGAATTAGCAGGCTGCTGACCTATGAGATGGAGAAGAGATGACAAGGACTGCTGGGGTCTGGTTTGGGTGTCTGGTGAAGTGCAGGGAGTGAAAGTGCAAGCTCGCTGTACAAGAACATTGGTTGTTCTGGACATACACTGAGTTAGGGGTGTTTCTGGGTTGGAAACCTCAACTGTTGGCAATACTGGATTGGATAAGCTCCATTAGTTCATTAGTAGCTATTGCTTCAATATCCAGGAAGCTTGGAATTAAAAACAACTTGAAGTGTTAGAAAATAAAGAATGTTGTTTTTTTTTTTTTTTTTTAAGATTTATTTTTATTATTTTTTTCATTGGAAAGGCGGATATACAGAGAGGAGAGACAGAGAGGAAGATCTTCCGTCCGATGGGCCGATACTATGCCGATCCGAAGCCAGGAGACTCTTCTGGGTCTCCCACGCGGGTGCAGGTTCCCAAAGCATTGGGCCGTCCTCGACTGCTTTCCCAGGCCACAGGCAGGGAGCTGGAAGGGAAGCGGGGCTGCCGGGCTAGAACCGGCGCCCATATGGGATCCCGGGCGTGCAAGGCGAGGACCTTTAACCACTTGCGCCACCGCGCCGGGCCCTGTTTTTTTTTTTTTTTTTTTTTTAAGTTATTTTTATTTGAAAAGCAGAATTAGAGGCATGGGGGACGAGCCAGAGAGCAGTCTTCCACTGGTTCACTCCCCCACGTGGTGGCAGTGTCCAAAACTGAACTGATGCCAAGCCAGGCGCCAGGAGCTTCCTTGCAGTCAGCCAGTGCATGCAGGGGCCCTAGGATTTGAACCATCCTCACTGCTTTCCCAGGCCATAAGCAGGGAGCTGGACTGGAAGCCTAGTAGCTGGAACTTGAACCAGTGTCCATATGGGAGGCCAGTGCTGCAGGCAGAGGCTTAGCGTGCTATGTTGTGTTGCTGTGCTTTAATGAATATGTTCTAAACACGTATTCTACACTAGGAAATACTTGTGAAAAACAAAGCAGGAGTTATTCATGGATTTTTATTTTTCAAAAAAGAACCTGGCAAAGCATCTGATGATGGCTTGATGGTGGTAATAGACCATCATGAGATGCTTCAAACGCAAATCATTTCAGCAAGTTCCAGTTTTTAATTTAAGGATTTTAAAAAACTTTTGGAAGCAGATTCTTTCAAAGGAAAAACATTTTGTACCAGCCAGCAGAGCCAGTAACGTGGACACTGCGGGAGTCTGAGGGATGAGGCAGCAACTGGAGACCAGTGATGGTGGAAGTCTCTCAAGCCTCCCTGTATTATGCCTTACATACTCTTTGCCCAAGCCCTTTAGCAGAACAATAGGATGCTAATGAGTCTGATTAGACCAGGTGCTACTAGCCCCAAGCCCATTTCTTGTAGGTGCTCAGTTTAATGAGTGCTAATCAACTCCTTAGCCCACAACATTTGATTGTTTTGTGAATGCTGTTGGAAATTCATTTTAAAAGTTCCAGGGTTGGATGAGTGAATATACAAGTACAGATTTTGGTGGAATATGAAAACAGAATGTTTGCGTCATCTAGAAAGTGATAGGGCAGAGCTGCAGTCTTTAGCATGTCTGTGGCGTGTCCCGAGGCACTCTGCTGGCCTGGCTACGCAGTGAGCGCTGTGTGGGCGAGGCTGTGGCCTGTTTGGACGTCTGTCCCCTGCCGGAGTGCCTGGGTTTCACTGCTGGCCCCAGCTTCCTGGTACTGGATCCGGGAAGCAGCAGTGAAGCCCGAGTGATGGGTGCTGCTGCCCACGTGGGAGCACAGCCACCCACCGTGGAGCAGGCCAGAGGATGCAGCTGTCTGCTAAGTAACAATGAAGTAAATGCTTGAAACATTAGCAGCTGTGAACTTGCTTCTAGTCAGGATGGAGTAATGGGGACTAGATTTACTTTTCTTGCAACAGACCAATGATCCCACCGAGCTTTCATTTTCAGAAACTAGAAGATCAAACTGCGAAAGTCAAGTAATAGAGATTAGAATGGAAATTAATGAGAAGATTAAAAGAAAGTGGGGAAAACCAGTGCAAAAGCTGTTTTCTTTGAGAACAGTAAAACTTGGTAAACATCTGGCCAAACTGATTAGAAAAAGAGAGGATGAGATCCCATATGGGCGCTGGTTCTAATCCCGCTGTCGCGCTTCCCGTCCAGCTCCCTGTTTGTGGCCTGGGAAAGCAGTGGAGGACGGCCCAAAGCCCTGGGACCCTGCACCCATGCAGGACCTGAAAGAAGCTCCTGGCTCCTGGCTCCTGGCTTTGGATTGGTGCAGATTTGGCCATTGGGGCCGCCTGGGGAGTGAACCATTGGATGGAAGATCTTCCTCTCTGTCTCTCCTCCTCTCTGCATATCTGACTTTGCAATAAACATAAATAAATCTTAAAAAAATAAAGAGGAGACACTATCCAACATAGGAATGAGAGATAAGACATAGTAACTGTAGATTTTGCAGCTATTAAAAGGATAGTAAAGGGATAACATGGACACCTGTGTGCCAATGCTTAAAGACTGTGATTACCAAAGTGCTCTCCAACAGAATAACCCATATAGCTCCTTATTTATTTTAATAAAATTGAGCTTGTGGTTTTAAATCCTCCCATCAAGGAACTAGCGACGATGGCCTTACTAGTAAATTCTGTCAAATATGTGAGGAATAAATAATAACCAATTCTATACATACACTTTCCCAGAATGTTAGAAGTATTGCCCAGTGTGAAGGCCAGTGTTACCCTGAGGCCAAAACCAAAGACCGTGAGAAAGCTGTGGTCTCATATGCATCACCCACATGGATATAAAACTATACAAAATGTTCACCTGCGCCTCCTTAAAAGGACCATGCATCATGTCTAAGAGGAGTTCAGCCTTGGTTTAAGTCATATTGTAATACACTCAAAAACCAGTTGGCAGATTGTAACAGCTGTTAAGAATGGTGACGTGTCAGGGCTGTCCTGCTGCCAGCTCCCAGGTAGGCCCTGGGTCAACCTGTGGGTGCTGTCTGCCGGCTCCCAGGTAGGCCTGTCAGCCTGTGGGTGCTCTCTGCCAGCTCCCAGGTAGGGCCGACAGCCTGTGGGTGCTGTCTGCCAGCTCCCATGTAGGGCCAACAGCCTGTGGGTGCTGTCTGCCAGCTCCTGGTCCAGGGTTCAAGGACCATGTGACTCACACAGGATCAGCAGGGGACTCACCATTCAGTGCATGCCCTCTGACTGAGTGGGTGGACCTGCAGGTGGACCCAGGGGTGCCACAGGGCAGCATGCTGGGAAGCAGGAGCTTCAAGAGCTGCAGGTTTAAGAAGGGGCTGCTGACCAACCTCTGCTGCTGCGGACACAGCTTTGTCATCCTGGACCCAGCGGACGGCTTCTCTCCATCCTGGAGAGAGATCCTGTTGGATTTTCCCACTCTTTACAGTTGGAACTTTCTTGAACAGATGATCCCGAGGAAAGAGTAATTTTTTTCCCCCAGGCTTGTAGAAACAGGAGAACTCTCAACAGTATCCACAGATCACATAGACCAAAGGATGGGAGAGGCAGGATTGGTAACAGTTTCTGTTGCCTTTATGTTAGAATGTCATTTTGTTTTTTTTTTCCCATGTGGCTAAAGGTATTAATCCAGGCAGGGCGGGTGTCTAGGGCTCTGCATGAGATGGCCTGAAGATGGAAGTGCGAAGTAAGGAGGTCCTTTGTGGTAACTCTGAGCTCCAGGAGTTAGGGCATCCCTGAATGGCTGTGGGACCAAAGGGATGCTTCCTGGACATGAAGGTCTGTTAGGACTGTTCCTAAGGTGCCTTTTACCTGATTTTGAAGAAGGAGTCAAGTTTCTGTCTCACTTCCTGCACGGAGTAGAAACGCAGCTTTGGGGGTGCACAGGGCGCCTCTGGAAGCGAGGGGACTCTCCCCGTGGAAGCGGAGCAGGTCAGATGCAGTGTCTGAGTTAGGGCTCCAGTTGGTGCTTGGCATCTGAGAGGCTGGGTTCTGCCCACCGTCTCTTGTGTTCCTTCACATCACTGGCAGATGACCTGTGTGTCAGGGATGACCGAGAGAGGGTGTTCTTTGCGGATGTTGGAAAAGCTGAGGCCTCCCGCGCCCCCTGGTGTGCTGCTCCGTGAGGCTAGGAGGTGTGAAAACAGCTGGAGGGAGCGCCTCTAGTGGCTGCTGAAGGCACTGGAAAAACCCCCGAGAGCTGTTGGGGAAGAGTCCAAATATATTTTCAGAAAATTACTTTGGTATACTTTTAGAATAGAACGATGTTATAGACCCACCAGTATAATCATGATTATCATGTTTAGGGCCCCGTTCAGTTACCCATGGTGGTTTTTCTGGCCAGCACAGATCATCTCCCCTGTGGAATGGCTTAGGACGGCTCCTGCCCTTTGTATGTAATTTCTGCATGCTGAGCTCTGGGTTGCATGTGCTGGCTCCTGTAGGTTGTGAGTTTAAATGTTGTGATGATTGCTCAGTAATTCTGTGCTTGCTAGGGTCCATGCTTTTCACACAAAACATTTTTGATAAATGCCAGTGTTTCGTTAACCTGTTGAAAGCTTTCCCTCTTCCCAACTCCTCACGTGATTCTGTGTTGAGCCTTTGTTAACCTTGTGTCCTTAGGTCAGTGCCTTACTGCATTGTAGTAGTTTTCATTTAGTTTTATTTAATGGTACAGGGAAATACGATTCATTTTCTGAAGAAAATAATGTATTTCAGGTTGCCGAGGAGCCCAAGTAGAAGAAATATGGAGTTTAGAGCCTGAGAGTTTTGAAAAATTAAAGTAAGTACAATTTCAGTTACATTTAAAAAAGTGTCTAGGTGCCAGCATGGTCTTGAAGCTTCTGTCTGCAGCCACACATGCCATGGGGCACTGGTTCGTTTCCTGGCTGCTCCATCTGAGCCCCAGCTGCCTGCTGATCGCCTGGGAGAAGCAATGGAAGGTGGACCAAGTGCTTTGGGCCTGTCACCTCCATGGGAGACCTGGAGGAAGCTCCTGGGCTTATGGGACCATTGGCAGAAGAGGATAGCCCAGTGCTTGGGTCCCTGCATCCACACAGGAGGTCCAGAAGAAGCCCCTGGCTCCTGGCTTTGGCCTGCCCAGCCTTGACCATTGTAGTCATTTGGGGAATGAACTGGTGAATGAAAATTCATCTCTGGGGCCCGGCGCGATGGTGCACTGGTTAAGGTCCTCGCCTTGCATGCCCAGGATCCCATATGGGCGGCGGTTCTGATCCCGGCGGTCCTGCTTCCCATCCAGCTCCCTGCTTGTGGCCTGGGAAAGCAAGCCCAAGGCTTTGGGACCCTGCACCAGTGTGGGAGACCCGGAAGAGGCTCCTGGCTTCGAATTGGCTCAGCTCCAGCCATTGCGGCCGCCTGGGGAGTGAATCATCGGACGGAAGATCTTCCTCTCTGTCTCTCCTCTCTGTATACCCGCCTTTCCAATAAAAATAAAATAAATCTTTAAAAAAAAAAAAGAAAAGAAAATTCATCTCTGACTGTCTCTTCCCTCCCTCTGTAACTCTTTTTACTAAGTAAATCTTTTAATTGGAAGAGGCGCAGTGAGGTGATTCCTGTCAGAGCCGGTGTTCTAGCACAGTGTGTGAAGACGCTGCCTGCAACACTGGCAGCCCATAGGGGCACTGGGTCAAGTTTCAGCTGTTCCACTTCTAAACCAGCACCCTGATAATGTGCCTAGGAAGCAGGCAATGCTGGGTCAAGTGCTTGGGTCTCCACACCCACTGGGAGGCCGGGGTGGAGTTTCTGCTCCCAACTTCAGCCTGTACCAGTCTTGGCTCTTGTGTGACCACTTGTGGAGTGAACCAGCAGCTGGAAGATTTCTCCATTTTCTTTCTGTAACTCTTTCAAACTTATAAGTATGTCGTTAGAGAAAAGAACATGGAAAGAAAGAGACAAGATCGTTGTGAAAAAAAACAAAAAACGGGCCAGGACGAGTTGTTGTTGCTGTGTGCCATAAGAGCGTGGCCCAGCGCCTTCCCAGGCGGCAGTGTGCCAGTGCACAGATGAGCTCTGGACTGCCATCCATGGGCATCGTCAGTTCAGCTTCGAATGTTCAAAAAGGAGAAATATAGAGAGGCCAGAGGAAGAGAAAGGGATGCTCTGGGCTGGTTTACTTCCCAGAAGGCTGCAACATCTGGGAAGCCAGGAGCCAGGAGCCCAGCCCAGGGCTCCTGTGCGGATGGCAGGGCCCAGCGCTCAACCCTAGTGTGCAGTAGCATGGAGCTGCACCAGAAGAGCAGCCAGGATGTGAACCAGCACCAAGAGATGCATGTGAAGTGATGCAGGCAATGGCTTGCCAGCAGTGTCACGGTGCTGGCCCCTGTTCTTTGTTCTTATCTTCTTCATTTGTGAAAAACCAGCCGGTCAGTACTCTGGATGTGCTAGTAGGACGGGTGTGAATCCTTTGCAAACTGTTTATCTGTGAGCCTCAAGCCTTGTTCATAAAATGGGAATATCTCTCTCACAGGATTGAAAAGAAAGAGAACTTAAAGGACTTAATGTATTCAGCCTAGCATGATCTAAAATAAAGAGTAATAACTAAAATAATTACCATTTACGAGTTAGCTATCGGGACCACTGCCTTGGTATAGGACCAGGCTTTTGCCACTGCACCAGCATCCCACATGAGCACTGGTTCAAGTCCTGGCGCCTCCAGTTCTGTTCCCTGTTGGTTTGTTTGTTTTTTTCCTGGGGAAGCAGTGGAGGATGACTGATATCCTTGGGCCCCTCCACCCATGTGGGAAGCCCAGAGAGGGCTCCTGGCTCCCCGTCGGCTCAGCTCAGCCATTGCAGTCATCGGGGGAGTGACCCAGGGGTTGAGATGCCTCTGTCTCCCCCTCTTTTTTCTGTGACAATGGCTTAACAGTTAAATCGTTAAATGATTTTGTGAAAGTCTATTTCAAACTTTTTTTAGGACTTTCTTGTTGTTTGAAAGGGAGAGTTCCAGGGAGATACATTAGCAGGGAGCCAGATTGGAATTAGAGTAGCCTGGACTTGAACTGGCGCCCGTGTAAGAGGCTGCCATGCAGCGGGCAGCTTGAGCTGCTGGCCCACAGCCTGTCTTCCTGCAGCCCCCACACGTGCTCTCAGCCTCGCATCTGCAAGTGAGAGAGTGTTTTTGGATGGGAGAGTCCTTGGGTTCTGGGAATGTGGACAGAGAAAGGCTCTTAAAGGGAAAACGGGGACTTAAGCGTTGGTTACAGTAAGAAGGAAATGGCTTGCTACCTGCATCCTGCACAAGAGAGCAGTCACCTTACAAAGAAAAAGAGGTCAGTTAAAAGTGCTGTGTCTGCACTGTGCTGATTTTTAAGGTTTATTTATTTGAAAGGCAGAGTTAGAGATTTTTATCTGAGAGCTCTGTTCCCAAATGGCCGTGAGCCCCGCCCCCCTCCAGTGCCAGGCTGAAGGCAGGAACCAGGCGCTTCTTCCTGGTCTCCCTACGTGAGTGCAGGGGTGCAAGCACATGGGCATCCTCTGCTGCTTTCCCAGGCACGTTTGCAGGGATCTGGATCAGAAGCAAAGCAGCTGGGTCTCAAACTAGCACGCCTGCGGAATGCCGGCTGTGTAGGCAGTGGTTTTCCCCGCTGCATCACAGTGTAGGTAGGAAGGGTTTTGTTGAGTGATGGCAGTTGTGGAAGGTAGACTGGGAGGGACCGATGGACTGATTGGCTGTCTCATGCACAGTGTGTTTTCTGAGTGTGAATGACTCCATGATGTGTGAAGATTGCACAGGAATCCCATAATTATATGAAAGACTTGCTGTGTTTAGCGGCACCTGCTGTCAGCCACTTACTGTCTGTACACTGCAACTGAACCTAGGGTTCTCACCGAGCTGCTGGTTCTGCTAGGGTTGTGTTTTCTGTGAGGTGATGGAAGTGGAAATGCATAGTTGACAGATTTGGAAAGCAACTTTTTATTGTAATTCTGTTGCAATAGGTGTTATTTTTTAGGTTTATTAACATGGAAGTCAGCATTCTAGTGACTGAGTGACAGTAGTGAACTTAGAAAGCAAATTTATATTAATATTTGTACCATACTTACTAAATGATCACCTATAATTTATTAGTGATGTGCTACAAGGGAAGCAGGAGTTGGTGTCACTTGCTTGCATTTTATTTTACAGGCCAGTTCATGGGTTAATTTTTCTGTTCAAGTGGCAGCCGGGAGAGGAACCAGCAGGCTCTGTGGTTCAGGACTCGAGATTGGACACGATCTTTTTTGCCAAGCAGGTACGGTCCGTGATGCCCCGCGGAGGCGGGGGCGGTGGGGCTCTGGTGGGCTGTGTGCCTCTGGGGAGCAGGCCTGAGAGCTTTCTTGTCTGGGAACCCAAACCCCTCTTAAAGAAATATTGTGACCTACAAAAATATTTTGTCTATGGGATCATCCATTAATGTTATACCATATCAGACTTAAATAAAACAGTTGAAGAATCTATCAATTATTTAAAAAATAAACTTGTTACATGTTAATATGAATACTGTTTTTAAATGAAAACAATGAGCTTTTTAATGTTTTCACACCCCTTTTACGTGCCTGACTTCCTGACTTCCTGCTGGCTCGGGGTGTGTGCTGGTGTCTGTGTGGTGTGTTAGATGTGCCTGGAGAAGAGGGGTATGTGATGGTGGGAGTGGAAATGGCCCTCCCAGCTGTTATTCTCTGACACTGTTGTTAAAACTGAGTAGCTGTTGCTTTTCTGAATATTCAGGACAGTAAGACATTTGTAGTTTGTTGTGTTAAAATTCTTGGGGTTATCTTGCTCTTCAGATGAATTTTGTGTACTTGTGTCATTTTGTACCATCAGACATTGCCTATTGGGAATTCACTGGATTGTGCATTTTCTTCATTTCTTGACACATTTGATATGGCTTGGCATTAACTAATCATATTGACTAATATCAAATCTTCACTATCAGAAAAGTCACTAAATGTCACACATTTTAAACTGACAGTGGTGGACGTTTCCTCAAATCCTAATTTTCACTTAAAGTTCAGTGTTGTCTGGTGACGACAGATAGCATCAGGTGTCTTCCTTAAAGGCTTGGGCTCATTTCACTCTTTCTCAAGAAACTGCCAACTATCCTTGTCTGAAAACCATACGGTTTGATTCTTCTTTCAGGTAAGAATGCCACCAATAAAAGCTGCCATCTCGGCCCACAGTTCGAGCAACATTTGAATTTCTGTTACTCTAACACAAAGAGCTTATTTAATAATTAGCATTATACGTTCAAATACCTGTGTTAACATCATGATGTTTTCAAGAATTGTGATTTTAGAACCATAGTTGTCATGGTGTTGCTGTTTGGCTAAGGGAGGACCTTTGGCACATGATGGAAGCGTCTGGAGATGCCTGGCTTTGAGTCCCATCTGCTTCTGAGCTGCCCTCCTGCTGAGGTGCACCCTGGGAGCAGCAGGTCGTGGTTCTGGTCCATGGGCTGGACCCGGACTTGGACCTGGCCTGACCTCCAGGCTTCTGGCTGGGCTGGTCGTTTGGAGAGTGAAGCAGCCGATGGCAGCTCTGGCTGTTACTCTGCCTTGAGGGGGGAAACAGACGTGGGTGGGCTGGGGCTTGAATAGTTTTAGTAGTTCTTCGAGTTGTTTATCCCCTTGCTAAAAAACGCTTTTATTATTTCTTTTTTTTTTTTTTTTAAAGATTTATTTATTTTTATTGGAAAGTCAGATATACAGAGGAAGAGAGACAATGAGAAAGATCTTCCGTCCGATGATTCACTCCCGAAGTGAGCACAACGGCTGATGCTATGCCAATCCGAAGCCAGGATCCAGGAGCCTCCTCCAGGTCTCCCACGCGGTGCAGAGTCCCAAGGCTTTGGGCCATCCTCAGCTGCTTTCCCAGGCCACAAGCAGGGAGCTGGATGGGAAGTGGAGCTGCCGGAATTAGAACCGGTGCCCATATGGGATCCCGGTGTGTGCAAAGCAAGGACTTTAACTGCTAGACCATGCCGCCAGGCCCGCTTTTATTATTTCTTTAACGTGTATGGGAATGTATGCTCATTATACCAATTTACGCAGTGTGGAATGTAAGAAGTAGAAGATGCTTCTTGTCCTCACTCCAGAGAGAAACAGTTTCTGTCTTCACACACTTGTGTGTGTATGTTTCTTGGTATTTGTTTCTTCTACACTAAATTCTAAACCTGAGAATCAAGGCTTTTGTTTTGTGCCTGTTTTCTCCTGCACACTGACCTGTCTCTCTCTAAGGTGGTTATTACAAATTGTGTTGCAAATCTCCAAGTTCAAGATGCTGGTGGTATCTAATTGTAAAGATGATGTTTAATTTTGAAGATTTATGTGTTTGAAAGAGTTGCAGAGAGGAGAGTGAGAGAAAGAATCTTATCTACTGGTTCACTCCCTGTGATTGGGTTAGGCTAGATCTTGGAGACAGGCCCTTCCTGCAGATCGCTAATGTAGGTGCAGGGGCCCAGGCATTTGGGCCTCTTTTGTTGCATTAGAAAGAACTGGATGGGCCCGGCACAGCAGCCTAGTGGCTAAAGTCCTTGCCTTGCATGCACCAGAATCCCATATGGGAGCTGGTTCTAATCTTGGCCACCCTGCTTCCCATCTAGCTCCCTGCCTCTGACCTGGGAAGGCAGTAGAGGTGTTGGGACTCTGCACCTGCATGGGAGACCTGGGAGTGGCTCTAGGTTCCTGGCTTCGGATTGGCTCAGCTCCAGCCATTGCAGCCACTTGGGGAGTGAATCAATGGACAGAAAGTCTTCCTCTGTCTTTCTTCCTCTCTGTGTATCTGACTTTGTAATAAGAATAAATCTTATAACAAAGGAGCTATATCAACAGTGGAGCTGCTGGTGCCGTGTGGGGTGCTGTGCCACAGTGCCATGCCTAGGCCTGGCTCTGCTTGAGGCTTCACAAAGTGTTAGTAAAGAAAAGGAAATTATTTTAAAGTAGGGATTTACTTCCTGGAGTCTGTTGATATTTTTTTCACTTTTTTGTTAAATTTGTGATTACTATCATTTGATGTTTTGTTTGTAGTATTTTGGATGTCAGGTTGCAAAATTCCAGATGATACCATTTTTGATACTGGCTTATGGTAAATGTTCCTGTTAGACTGGTGTCAGTAAATTGCAAATAGATCCTTGGTTACTATATGTCTCCTAGGAGCCTATACTAGGAGTATATGGTAAATGGTGCGTGAATATACAATCCTTGGTTGTAGGTCTCAGGAACAGATGCCTGTTGTCTTGGAGTGGTTTCAGAATTTGAAAAATTAAAAGCATGTTTACTTGTGATAAGGTTACCTGGTTTAAAGGAATGTGTATTTACACATGGCAGTGCTTTCAGTTTAGAGGGCACACTGGCCACCTGGTGCTGAGCATAGGTTCTGTTGGGAGGACGCGTGTCTGGTCATATGTTCTATTTGGTAGCATGTGTGTCCGTGTTATTGATTTATAAAATACGGAGCAAGTTCGTGCTCCACTATTTGCAATTTGTGTGTAAATGTTCAGGAATGATACTTAGACAGTGCTTCTCTGCGCAACGTAGTCATCTTGTTTCTGATTTGCTGCTGAAAACAGGCGTGGTTTACCTGGGTAAGGCTCTGATACAGTGATACTAGGCCTGCCTGACTCTGATCTGTTCGTCCTTCTAGAAAGAGCGCTATAGTGTGTCAGTCCTGTGCTTGGTACTTGGAGAAAAGAAAGCTGTCGTGATTCCCGCCCTCAGGGGGCCGAGGGTGTGATGCAGAGCAGTGTGTGTCAGCTCACCGTAAACCCGATGTACCAGGAAGTGAGACTGTTCCAGCTGGGGGGTAATCCACCTGACTCCTCCCCCTGGGAGCATGCGTTGTAGTTGGAGGTCCCTGTGGTGGTCCCTTCTTCTGATGGCAGTGACAGGCTCTGTACTTCACTGGGAAGACGTGCAGACTTCATCGAAAGTAGTTACATTCATGCTTATGCTTTACTGCAGTACAAGACTATAGATTAAAATTGGCCAAGAGAAGGGAAACGGTGCACACAGAATCAGGCAAGTTCCATCCATAGAACCTCCAGAAGTTTTGTTTTTTTATCCATTTGCGTCACCATGGTGCTCGCTTTCCTGGCAGCACCACGGGGCGATATACAGACTTGCCGTTCCAAGAGTCCCAACCGACTCTTTGTGCTCAGTTTTGATTGGGCTTTTCCACCGTGGACTTGGCTGGCTGTCCATGTGTCTCGTCTCAGTCGCCTCTAGGAAGTGGAGTGCTGGTGTTGATCCTTACCCCTGCCTAAGTCATATTTAGACTCCAGTGAGTTTGTGGGACAGGGTCCTAGACAAGGATGCTTTTCTCAGGTAAGATTCTTTCTGAGGCCTGGGAGATTACGCTCTAGGGCTGAGGGTAATGGCCAGACTTCCGTTGGAGCAAGGATGAGTACACCAGGAACTTGACCTTGTCAGGTGAATCTGAGAGGGCTTCTCTTAACTGATTAGGTGAACTCCAAGGTAAAGCAGCTGTTAACTAGGAGACAGAGATTGAGGATTATCCTGGATTAAGAACAGCTTTGCAGCAAAAGCAAGTAAAAGATACTAGAAGACCGTTGTAACCAGGGCACGGGAGCCCCAGACAGTGTCAGGCAGGCTTAGGTGCAGTTAGGTTTATGAAAAAAAAGGGAGGGGATCATGAAGACTAGTGTTTTTCATATTGTACCATTCACTGCAAATTTTATTTATTTATTTCAGTTTTTTGCTTTCTGTGTTTTTCTTTATTATTAGTGTTTTATTCTGATAATCTTTACATTAGGGCACAAAAGGTCAGGGATTACAGGGAAGTGGGTATCATTGTCGTTTCCAGATTCTCTCTCTTTTTTTTCCCCTCTGTATCTGGGATTAAGGGGGGGAGATAAAGGGAGAAGCCCCACTTAGCCTCCCCCCCATCCCAGGGTCCCCCATGTGGGGTGTGCTCCGAGGGCACTGCTCAAGTGGTTTGTGAGGTTGTAGGTTACTTCACGACCCAAGGTGACCATTCTGTCTCAGTTCCAACTTACAGGCAATAAGGCAACTCCCCTCCACGTCCTTTACCCTTAAGTACATTTTTGAATTTGCCTGTCATGTGCTTATTTGCCTTTGGCAGCAAAGGTAACTAGGTAACTAACTTTCATCATTTCACATGGTAAGGAGCCCAGATGAAATGTGTGGGCGCAAATCCGGTGTGAGGAGATGTGTTTCAGGTTGCATTTGCTGACATAACACGTTCCTAGAAAACTGAATTCCAGAAAAGTCTCGCGAATTCCTGAAGATAGGCAAAAGTAGAATTAAATGTGCTTAGTATGTTTTTGCTGACTTGAAGACTGTTAATTCCTGTTTTGGAGGTCATTACCACCAGTACGAAGCTGCTTTGTTTTGAATTGGCACCGCCTCTGTTCTCCTCTCCAGGTGATCAATAATGCGTGTGCTACACAAGCCATAGTAAGTGTGTTGCTGAACTGCACCCATCAGGATGTCCACCTGGGAGAGACGCTGTCCGAGTTCAAAGAATTTTCACAGAGTTTTGATGCGGCCGTAAGTGCAGTCCCTTCCCTGACCCAGTGCACGGCTGCTTTGGTGGCACTTGTGTTGACACTACTTTCATATTGTCGCAGATGAAAGGCTTGGCCCTGAGCAATTCGGACGTGATCCGGCAAGTCCACAACAGCTTCGCCAGGTAAACAGGCTGCTGGTTGGTGCACGCCGCTCCTCTCTGCTCCTTGTTTCTCACCCTTTTCTCTCTTTAGACAGCAGATGTTTGAGTTTGATGCAAAGACGTCAGCCAAAGAAGAAGATGCGTTTCACTTTGTCAGTTACGTTCCTGTCAATGGACGGCTATATGAATTGGATGGATTAAGAGAAGGACCGATAGATTTAGGTAATCTAAATCCTGGCGTTTCACTTCTGACAAGGGAAAAGTGACAGGCATTCACCGGAGCCGCAGTACTGCTGAACGTGTGACACCGTGCAGGTGAAAGTGACCACGAGTCAGTGTGAGATGAAAGTCTTAGGGTCTTCAGTGCTTATGAAATTAAAATATGCAAAGAATGTATTGATTTATGGCCGTAAGAGAAAATAAACACATAGATCACATTATTTTTTAGTTAACTTTTAAGGGGTACTGTTTGTGAGTTGATTGGTACAGCAGTTAGGATAGTCCTTGGCTGCCTGCATTCCTTTATGGGCTGCTGCTGATCACGGCTTCCTGCTGGACTGGGCACCGGCAGGCCCCGGGGGCTGCTGCTGATCACGGCTTCCTGCTGGACTGGGCACCGGCAGGCCCCGGGTGTCGCTTGGGTATCAGGGCCCTGTCGCCCGTGGAGTCGCTCGGGTCCTTAGGGCCCTGTCGCCCTTGGGGAACACCAGCCCCTGGCTTCAGCTTGGTCCGGTCAGCTCTGGCAGGCAAGGGGGAAGTGAATCATCAGTCTGTCTGTCTGTCTCTGATTTAAACATGAAACAACAAATGAGGAACAACAAGCAAACTATTTTCATTTGAATTGAATTACTTCAATTCATTGTTTATCAGCCTCTTTTTTCAAAGTTTGAATTTATATAGTGCACTTGTATGCTATCCTTTATGTCAAAGGATAGATTTATACTGACCCCGCCCTCTGTGTCCTGGAGCAAATGTAATCAGATTGTTGATGTTAGGGGTATTGTCTGTAATTCTGAAACAATAGGCCAGCAAAAGAATTCTGACTCCTTATTTTGACCTTACTATATTTTCTTATTTGTTTTTTAAAATTAAGTTTAAAGTTCAATAAAAGTTATTTTAGCTGACTCCAATGTTTTGTGCTGTTTATAAAACTATATACTTCTGGAATTTAAAAGAATAAACCATATTGATTTTGTTTGTACTGTGTGATCATGGGCCATGTATAGAACTCATAGTTTTGGAGCACATTTACATATTACTATTGTGCTTTAAAATATTTATTTTATAATTCTGTGGAAGCTGTTTTTCCTTAATTTTTTTAAAAAATATTTTTATTGGAAAGGCGGAAAGACAGGAAGATATTCCATCCAATAGTTCACTCCCCAAGTGAGTGCAACAGCTGGAGCTGAGCCAGTCCAAAGCCAGGAGCCTCTTCCGGGTCTCCCATATGCTACTTTCCCAGGCTACCAGCAGAGAGCTGGGTGGGAAGTGGGGCTGCTGGGATTAGAACCGGTGCCCATATGGGATCCTGGCACGTTCAAGGCGAGGACTTTAGCTGCTATGCTATCATGCCAGGCCCTGTTTTTCCTTAATTAACAGTCTCTGTTGGCTTCTATCTACTCAGTCATTGTTCATTGGAACCATCAAATGACAGAAGTTAAATGATCAGACAGACTGCTAGTTTTACTGTAAAGCTGGTGGCCACGTTACACTTTCAGGGGAAAAAAAACAAGGATTAAGATAACTTAATAAAACTGGTTTGTATTATAGTGGATTTGCATTTTTATTTTATTACTGCTTTTATTCAGACAAATCACAGAATCCTTGTGGTCACTATCATGTGGGCTGGCTTTTCATTAGTCTTATTTTTTCAAAAGATTTATTTGTTTATTATTGGAAAGTCAGATTTACAGAGAGGAGGAGAGACAGAAACATCTTCCATCTGCTGGTTCACTCCCCAAATGGTCTCAACGGCTGGAGCTGAGCCAATCTGAAGCAGGAGCTTCCTCTGGGTCTCCCACGTGGGTGCAGGGTCCCAAAGCTTTCGGCCGCCTTCTCCTGCTGTCTCAGGCCACAGGCAGGGAGCTGGATGGGAAGTGGAGCTGCCAGTGTCCAGATGGAACCAGTGTCCAGATGGAATCCCTGTGCTGTGAGGCAAGGACTTCAGCCACTAGGCTACCACACTGGGCCTTAGTCTTAACTTTTGTCATCTGTAAGGTGAAGAGTGAGTTAACTGTTTATTACTTCGTCACGTTTGTAAATGGCAATGCAAATCATGATTTCACCTCACAGTTACGTAGGAAATAAGGATTAAAGTTTAGCACAGTTATTTTAGAAATAGTTTTACTGCCCTGTTTGCAGGAATATTTGAAAAAAATATTTTAGGTCACACTTTTGAAATAATAGTGAATGTTAACTTTTCTTACTTATGTTTAACTATTTTTAAATTCCTTTTTAGGTGCATGCAATCAAGATGACTGGATCAGTGCAGTAAGACCAGTCATAGAAAAAAGGATACAAAAGTAAATATTTCAGCTCATCTCATTGCCTAACGTTCTGGCTTTACAGCATGCTTTGTTTTACTTTTAACCTTGCTCCTTGTATGTGTGTCGAACACCTGCTTGTAAGTTGGTTGCTGCAGTCCGGAAGTCTGTGTGGGAGAATCTCTGCCTTCTGCAGAGCAGTGTGGCGGCCTGGCCTCAGAGCGCCTGCGCGTTGGCCTCGCTGGGAGACGCCGCAGAGTTTGTGCTGTTACCTGGTTGCTAGTTTTGTTTTGACGATTTAGGCAGTCTCCTAGTCCATGATCTGTGTGCTCATCTTGAATTGACTGCTGATGTTTGTCTTTTACTTGGTATATTTAAATCATTTATATTAACTAATGTTCTATGAAGTTACATATAAATTAGATATTTAGAGTAATTATTTTTTGTTAGGCTGCTTAATCTTTTTATCTTTTCATTTTTTCCTTTTTGTGAAATACTGCAGAATAGAATAGAATCTTACATTTATCTGAGAAAAAAATTAAGATTTATTTATTATACTTGAAAGTTAACGGAGAGGGAGAGAAAAAGAGGACGCTCTTCCGTGCACTGATTGAGTCTGCAGTGGCTAGAGCTGGGCTGGTCTGAAGCGGGAGTCGGCGCACTCACCCGCTCTGCTCACCACTGTCTCATTCCTGCTAGCTGAGAGCAAGTCTGCATGTGCCCGAGGTGAAAACAAAGGTTCTGGATGTTCAGGCAGAGGTGGGAATTGCAGCTTCCGCCAGGGCTTCCCGAGTGCTGTGGCCGTCACCGCCACCGGGGGCGTTGACCCTGCTCCCCACATGCCTCGGCCGAGGCTGAAGAGCTCGAGCTTGGTGACACCTTGGTGGTGACACTGGCTGCTGCTGTGGTGGTCCCGACCTGGGTAGGGTGCAGCGTTTCTGCTGACTGGTTAGTGTGTTCAGGCTTCCTGTTTGTGAGACGCCCCCGACTTGTTTGGCTAGGAGGCAGATACTGCTGCTTTTGGCCTGTGTGTGTGCTGACCCTATGGCTGCCTGGCTTCCGCACCTGCTGCTCAGGGGTCTGGGGATGGAAGGTGAGCCCAGCGCGTCACCGCCATGCCTGGCTGCTCCTGCCTGTCAGAGGTTTCCAATAAGTATGATTACGTCAAATGCCACTGTAATTATCCATCAAATGAGGCTTCTTCCTAGCTTGATTGCTGACATATTGATGACAGTGTTATTATTTTATTTTTAAAATTATTTCTGATGTTTCAAATGGCACTTGGCATTACTTTAGAACATTAAAAAAATTTTGTGATTTGTGAAACCTAGCTCTTTTTGTCGTCAGTTCTACTTTTGGTAAGTTCATAGATTAGTTTTGTTTATCCAGATAATCAAGACGTAAGCAGTTAGATTAATAGTGGTGATTTTATAATTTGTATTTTCTTATAAACTTTAAAATGTTTTTTACTAGGTACAGTGAAGGTGAAATTCGATTTAACTTGATGGCCATTGTGTCTGACAGAAAAATGATATACGAACAGAAGATAGCAGAGTTACAGAGACAGCTGGCGGAGGTTTGTGGCCATTGTTTTTTTTAAAGACATTTATTTTATTGGAAAGGCAGATCTACAGAGAGAAGGAGACACAGAGAGAAAGATCTTCCATCCACTGGTTCACTCCCCAAATGGCTGCAACAACCCGAGCTGAGCCGATCTGAAGCCAGGAGCCAGGAGCTTCCTCTGGGTCTCCCAAGCTGGTGCAGCGTCCCAAAGCTTTGAGCCATACTCTGCTGCTTTCCCGGGCCACAGGTGGGGAGCTGGATGGGAAATACAGCAGCTAGGACAGGAACCTTCAACCATGTGGGATCCCGGCTCAAACAAGGCAAGAATTTAGCCAGTAGGCTACTGCTCCAGGCCCCGTGGCCATATTTTTAAGTGTAAAGTTATAGCTTTATTACTCTCAGTAAAAGTGTTTACTTTGGTTTATGATTTCTGGCTTTGCCATCTAGTGGATGCATGCATTTCTCAGTTGCTTTGTATAGCGCGAGAGGAGCATTTCCCTTGTAAGTTTGTCACGAGGACTAAATGAAATACTCAAGTTACATGACCAGGTTACAAGTGCTGTATAAAAGTTAGCAATTGACTGCATTGAGTATTCACTGTGACTTCATCTTACTTATAAGTAAACAAGTTAAATTATATTTCTCTTAATTAGACTTTACTTTCGCATGTAGCCTGTATGATTGAACATCTGTAATAGATGGACTTGGAGCAGAGAATCAGTAATAGGCAAAGTCATTTTTATGATCGTTGATCACCTTTGTTGAGTGTATTTGAGCAAGGTGTAGCTTACTACGCAAGTGGCAGTATGGTATAACTCATTGTTTTCAGGTGAACATTTAGACATATTTTAGAACTTGGATGTGTGGAATGCACAGGTCCATGCTTTTATCAGTTAAAGTTACTGTTGTTATACTGATGTTCTCTTACTAGTATCCAAAGTAGAAATTTGAAAATAGACTTTTGACCATTTTCACCTCTGCACTTAAGCCTCAATTCTTAGGGTGTGTTGTTTCTTTTTCTTTGCCCTAAGGAGGAACCCATGGATACAGATCAGGGCAGTAATATGTTGAGCGCCATCCAATCAGAAGTTGCCAAAAACCAGATGCTAATTGAAGAAGAAGTTCAGAAATTAAAAAGATACAAGGTATGCTTTTCAGACCACTTGGCTGGGAAGTTGCTGGGCAGACCAGGGAGCCTTGAGATGAGAAGGTGTGTCCCCTGTGTTCCCACCTGGCTTTTCCTGCAGTGTGGACAGTCCTTGCTTGGCCGGTACCCTGTAAAGATAAGTCAGGAGCTTTTAAGAAAACATTTATCACGAACTGGATTTTAACCTGTTTGTGGCTTCAGTTTGCTGGAGTTATCTTAATTACACACAGATTAAGCCCAGCCATTGGGAGCCACTTCACCCTGGCACCTGTACCCTAGTGGCCCTGAGCTTTGGCGTGCTCCCGTTTCCTTACTGGTGGGATGCTTCGGGTCCCCTGCTGTATCTTCTGCCTCAGACATTATCAGATATCCCTGGAACCCTTCCATGCCCTCGTTGTTTCTAGGTCTTTGCCCAGCTAAAAATACTTTTTTTGTTTCTTGTTCTGTTTTTGAAGAGAAAATGCAGTATGAATTCCCATTAATATGATTATGTGCTGCATATTGCCATTTCAATTGGGGAGGGACTGTTCAGGGTCCCAGCAGTGCACTGTGGGGTGTGCGTGACAGAATTGTCTAATGCCGTTGTTTTTGATAATGTCATTGTGCACCTGCAGTCTGACTTGCATGAAGGCAGTGGAGGGGACTTTCATTTTGGTGTGATATGGTAGAATTCTGAATCTTTTGTGAAGCTCATCTGAAAGCAAGAGGTGCCAACTGCATTTGTTGTTCAGCACAGTGTAGGCATAGTTCTCTCTCTCTCTTTTTTTTTAAGATTTTTATTTATTTTTATTGGAAAGTCAGATGTGCAGAGAGGAAGATCTTCTGTCCGATGATTCACTCCCCAAGTAGCCACAATGGCTGGAATGGGGGTGGTGAACTGGACTGGATATAGCTGTAGCATCCCTTAGCATGGGTGTGGACTGGATCTGGCGTGTGCCAGGCTGAACTAGGCTCTAGCATCTGCTGGTTCTCACAAGAGCAAGGGCAAGTGTAGGACAGGCTGGGCCAGGTTTCCTGACACTGGGCCTTGCGATAGCTAGGTCTGGGAGTAGGCCAGGCAGGGCTGGGCTACACCACCAAAGGGAAAGAGCCAGAATGGGTGTAGCCTGGTCAGGCAAGGCCACTGCATCTGTCAGGACAGGAGGTGGGGCAAGTCAGGATGGGCCAAGGACCCACGAGTGTGTGCCAGATCTGCAATTTTAACTTGATAAAGGAGCTTAGGGCATAGTCCTTGCAGGTGAGTGCTAGAACCAAGGCTGGGAGTAGCCCAGTTTGTAGCACCCCACTGTAGATGTGAGAACCAGGACGTGGTGCAGTGCAGGCTGAATCTGGCTAGAACACCAGCCAGTTCACATTAGGACCAGTACTAGAAGCATTTCAGGCTGGGCTAGGCTATAGCACCCACCAGCATGAGCTGGGAATGAATCAGGCTACAGTACCCACTGGCAAATTCAGGTCATGTCATGCCAAACTGGGCCGCAGCACCAACCAGCATGTGTAAAACCCAGAGAGTGGTCATAAGTCCAGTAGGGGGTCTGCAGAGGGCTCTCCAGCTAGGCCACGTCCAGGGGTGACCATGAGATCTGGGACTGGGGAACACCAGGCTAGACAGGGCTACAAAATCTGCTGGTCTGCATTGAGTTGCATTGGAGGAAAAGTCAAGCTGCGATAAGCGACCATATCCACTGGTACATGCAATAGTTAGAGTAAGTGCAGGCTGGTGGGATACTGCTGCAGCATTAGCTGGCAAGTGCTGTGATTGGGGCAAGTCCAGTCAAGACTAGGCCACAGAACCACCTGACAAGTGCAAAATCTAGGGTGGGAGTGGGCTGAGTACAGCTCACCCAGGAGTAGATGGCAGCCCCTACCAGTGAACATGGGGACTAGGGCTGGGAGTGAGCCTGGCTGGACAGGCAGTGGTAACCATCAGTATAAGTGTGGGCTGCATAGTGGGGTTTGTCAGGCTGAGGTAGGCTCCAACACCCACCGATGTGTAAAAGAGCCAAATGAGATGCAGGACGGACCAGACCAATCTGCTGCACACACCAGCATGTGCAAGAACAGGGGCTGGGAGCATGCCTGGCGGGTGGGGGTTGCTTGAGTTAGGCAGTAGTTCCTGCTGGGGTACATGAGAGCTGAGCATATGCACGCAGCAGGAATGGGCTGGGCTGCACCATTCATTGGTTTGTGTATGAGATGAAACTGGAGACAAAACTGACCAGGTGACTGCAACCATCAGTGTGTATGTTGCCTGATGTGGCTGACAGACCAAGCTGGACCCCATGCTGGCTGGCACACACAGGACAGAGGTCTGGGGTCACATCTGGTGAGGTTTCTTTGGGCACCCCTAACTGAACCACTGAACCCAGAACTACAACCACAGGAAAAATCACAGTAATGCAGTCTGACCCCGAAGGCATGTGTCAGAACTGGGTCTACGTGGTTGTTGAAACCTAGGTAGTGGACAGCATGCCCAGATGCACATGTGGAATAAGACAACCTTGCTTCTTTTGTCTGCCACAAGGATGCAGGGACCCCCACACTTGGGCTGTCTTCCGCTGCTTTCTCAAGTGTAAAGCAGAGAGCTGGATCATAAGTGGACCAGCCAGGTCTTGAACCAGCTTTCATGTGAGATGCTGTTGCCACAGGTGATAGCTTTACCGCCTGTGCCACGACTCTAGCCCTACGTTCCATGGAAGACCTCATATATTCCTGCTCGCTGGGAGTGAAAGCCTAGGACATCCCGTAACTTGAAGGGGTCTGGACAGTGCATGTTTTTCTGTGATGCACAAACTTTTCCATAAAGTCTGTCTTCTTTCTATAAAAAGCAAAGGAAGATTACTCTTGACCACAACAAAGCTTGTCCTGCTCGACTTGATCTGATTTGCATAGGTATAAAGGCAAGAGTGTTAATTTATCATGGAAATCTTAAATTTGCTTTTGAGGCACATTTTTGTAAGTGATCTGAGGTCAGACTTGGTTAAATAAAGGCTTGGCATCCAAATTTAAGAAATTTTACCCCCTTACTCTGTTTTTTTTTTTTTAAGATTTATTTCTATTATTTTTTTTTATTGGAAAGGCGTATATACAGAGAGGAGGAGAGACAGAGAGGAAGATCCTCCGTCCGATGATTCACTCCCCAAATGAGTGCAACGGCCGATGCTATGCTGATTCAAAGCCAGGAGACTCTTCCAGGTCTCCCACGTGGGTGCAGGGTCCCAAAGCTTTGGGCTGTACTGGACTGCCTTCCCGGGCCACAGGCAGGGAGCTGGAAGGGAAGCGGGGCTGCCGGGATAGAACCGGCGCCCATATGGGATCCCGGGCGTGCAAGGCAAGGACCTCAACCACTGCACCGGGCCCCCCCTTTTTTTTTTTTTTTTTAATTCTCATTGAGAACAAATTTGATTATTTCTCATAATTTCTTCTTAGTAAGGAGAGTGGAAGAGTTTATCAGATTTCTAAGTTGAATGTAAAAGTGAAATACCAAAAAAAAAAAATTTGTGGCTATTTATTTTATTTTCAGATTGAAAACATCAGAAGGAAGCATAATTATCTGCCTTTTATCATGGAACTGCTGAAGACCTTGGCGGAGCATCAACAGCTAATCCCGCTGGTGGAGAAGGTCAGTACTCCTAGGGAGGATTTAGACCGGTCAGAAGTGCAACACGCAGTGTTTCATGTGAATAGAGGCAAAACACTTTAGTTTTAGTTTTGCCAGTTCTTTGTATTCTGTGAAAATTAATTACAGAATTATCACAAGATTAATTGCTCAGCTGCTTTCAGATTTCTTCAGGAATTCAGGTTGAGCTATATTAGCATTTCAAACACTACCTTTTTTTTTTTAAAGGAAAACCAGATTTTTTCATGTTATTTACTTGAAGCAGGTTTTTCCACTTAATTTAGCAAAATTTGAATTAGCATCGTAAAATTTAAAGCTAGAATGGACATTGATGGGAGAAAAACAAGTAGCCTTGAACTGAGACCTAAGTTGTATCGTTTCTGCTGAGGGTAAACCAGCATAAGTTAGTGAAAATTTTTTATTTATTTATTTTTTCAATTTCAGACACTTCGCAAAATATTTGTGGAATAAATGAAATTGCACTTGTTATTTCTAAGTTTATACTGTAAATCAGTGTTTCTGATAGTCACCAATGCTGAGTATTCTTTCAAATGCATGTTACCTGGCCTTCCCCACATATCTGATGTAGGGAAGGAGTCTTTATTAAGCCCCCCAGGCGGGTCTAACGCAGCTGCTCTGGGCACCACATTTGAGAAACACTTTTGAGAAGATACCACTAGGCAAATAAAATTTTGGACCATTAATTTAAAGACCAGAATATATGGTAGGTATATTTTTCTTACTAATTTTTAAAATTACTACACCCAGCTGTTTCATATTATAAATTTCAAATAATATGAGATATGTTAATACATATTTTTGCATATACCTTATTACTTGAGCGATGTGACCCCACTTTGAGCTCGCGAGGCCGCCGAGTCTCATGCTTCTCACAGGGATCTCTCTGTGTGTGCATCTCGGGCTATTTCAGTGTGGGAAACGGATTTCTGAAATGTTAGTTAACATTTAGTGATATATGATTCTCAAAGTGTCACTGCTTATAGAATGCCTAGATAATGATGTTCTTTATATAAAACCGTACAAAATTCTATGTTAAAAAAAGCCTTAAAAATATGAGGGGACTTGTGAAAGAGGACCTAAACCGGAATTAACAAGTAAGTTTATTTCAGTGCAAAAATATTTTGGAATCCATGCATAGTTGTTTCGTAACATACATTTCCCTTGAACTTTTGGAAGGCTGCTTGTTTGTGTGGATTTCAGAAAAACTTTGCAGCAAAAACTTGCCTTTCCACTTTGTTTTCCTGAAGCTTGTCGGTGGCCGTTTGTGTATGTTGTGCTAAAGGTGCGATGGACTGGATTTTCTTGCTGGAGAAGTGTCCTCGGGGAGCCGCTGGCTGTGACTGGTGTGTGCCACACAGGAGCGATCCCTGTGTGATTGTGACAGTCCAGTGTCTCCTCCCGCCTGGGTGTGAACCTGAGTTCTTTGCTTGATTTTGGACACCAGATGGCAGTAGGTGAATGCTGCCAGTGGACCCATTGTCGCAGGCTGGCCTTTGAATTGGTGCGAGTGATTTTTTTATTTTGGTAAAGATTTTTCTTGAAAGTGAGAATTACAGAGATGGAGACATCCACCCCCTGCCTGGCCACCCCCTAAATGGCTGTAAAGAGCAGAGCCAGGCTGGTCGGAAGCCGGAAGCCAGGAGAGGGGTGAAGGACGTGGTCGGTCCTCTGCTGCTTTCCCAGGTCATGAGCAGGGAGGGCATGGCAAGTGGACTAGTGTTACATGAGCGGCACAGCAGGCAGAGGGTTAGCTTGCTGCCACACCGCACTGACCCTGCATTGGTGTTTCTGAGTAAAGTGCTTCATGACCTCAGTTTGCCCTAAGTTCTTCAATTGATAATATTGTATAGGCAATATTGAGATAAACTTACTTCTTGAATAATCTATTCTCCTAGGTTCTGAGGAAAATTCAGACTCATTTGATTGCAGATCTTGAAATGTCTGTTCATTAGGCCTGACTCCGCACACGCATTCCTGTCACTCTTGTTAGGCCTGGGGATGTAAATGTAACTGAACACATTCTTTTCTCCTCAACAACTTCGAGTATAGCTTGGCAAGGAAGCGGATAGGGTTCGTTTGGTGCTGAATATTGTCGTTCTGACAAGTACCAGCATGGAGTGAGATCACATTCCGAAAAGTACAGGACAGCTGCTCCACAGCCTGCCAGCGATTCAGAACTCCATACCCACAGCAGCCATGCTTGGGACTCAGTGCCAGTCTGTTCTGATGGGCGGCATTCTTATCAGAAAGACAGATTTACAGAGAGGAGAAGAGACGGAGAGAAAGATCTGCCTTCTGCTTCACTCCCCAAATGGTTGGAGCCAGGATCCTCTTCCTGGTCCCCCATGTAGGTGCAGAATCCCAAGGCCGTGAGCTGTGCTCCGCTGCTGCCTAGGCTAGAAGCAGGGAGCTGAATCGGAAGTGGTGCAGCTGGGACGCCAGCGGGAGCCCGGGTGGGACGGTAGCACCACGGGTGGGAGGATACTGCACTGGCTCCTCTTTTTCTTATTTAAAAAAAAATCGTTATGCCATAAGGATGTATCCCACATTTCCGAATCACATATAAAGTTTGGGATCAAAAATCTAAAAGAATTGTAAGTATGAAATAAATAATAGAATAGAAATGAATAAAAGTTTCATAAATAGAATCTGAACCCTGCTGATTCTATTTTATATTTTAAGAAGTAGATTTGGTATATGATACAAGGATGGGTTTTTTTTTTTACTGTATTTTTAGGTTACCTCCTGAGCAGTTCAAATGTAATGTATATACCGTGATGATGCAAGCAGCTGAGATACTGCACCCCGTGTGAGACCGGTGGGGCTGACCCAGTCCCAGCTGTGGTCGGTTGTTGCAGTTATTTGAGCAAATGAACCAGTCAACGAGAGGGAGCTCCTTGTCTCTCTGCATACATCTTGAATATATTAGAAAAAGAAAAAGAAAAAATGCAGAACTTTAAACATACACGAATCTGCATTTTAGCAGGGTTCCCAAGTCATTGGCATGTGTTTTGAGAAACAGTGCTACAGTCCAAGAGATTTAAGTGTTGTGAAAGCTTCTCTGGCTGTTGGGTATGAGACTGGCTATGTCGACAGCATAGGGGAGCTCTGGTGTCCTCATTGACTAGAATGAAATGGAATTACTGTGCTTAAGCTGTATAGTTAGGATCAGATGACATGTAAACACTTTTGTAAATCGTGTAAGGTAAGTTGATTGGTCCCACAGTTATGTAAATTGTTATGTTAAACGTGTGTGTGTGTGTGTCTATGTCTATCTGTATCAGCTTATTGAGTATAATATCAGTTTATACTCAATTTGAATAGGAAGTCAGAAAATGTGTGTGTGTGTTTTGTTTTGGAATGCCCTTTAGTAATGGCCTTTGGAGTAATTTCACATTTTAAAATTATTGCTACTGTAATAATGTATTTTCAACTTGAGATGAGAACGCCAACCACCATGCTGGTTTCTGATTGGGGCAGAAAATGACTGACTAACTAGCAAAAGTTTGTTGCAGGTCTGAAGTTGAAGTACAGTGCTCTAGAAATCTTGGGAACACTGTGTTTTACGCTCTTGGTCTTGGTATGCCCTCTCATGGACATTTGTTTTAATACAATCTAAACAGACTTAACACTATCTTTTATTTTTAGGCAAAAGAAAAACAGAATGCAAAGAAAGCTCAGGAAACGAAGTGAAGATGGCCCTTTGGCTGCGTCTGCCTTTCTGCTTCTGCACTGCTGTTCATGGAGACCATTGGGTGTAACAGACTTTGAACAGCCTCCTGCTCGGCTCGGTGCACGTGTGGCCTAGTGCCCGTCTGTGTTGTCTTTAATGCATGGATCCTTAAGCTTTTCCCCTAGCTGCATCATGTGCATGTAGTGCATATTTAATAAAAGTCATAATAAGAATGCTTGCCCAGATGCCCAAATTCCGTTATTTGACACTGGATTTGAGAACTGCTGGTGACTCTGAACATGTATGGTGCCATGATGAACTTAGAAGATGCACAAATGATATTCTGTACCTGCAACTTATAATTTTCTGATCTTCATATTCAGTTGCATAGTACAGTTTACAAATTGCAGATCTCAACTAAGCTGATTTCTCATCATTAATAGGAAAAAAAATCACTATTTCTGTCTTTGATATGAGTGATTTGAGGACTTTAAAACTGAATTTTGTCTCTTATACCAACTGTTTGAGAAAAGTTTGATTTTTAAGGCAGATAATTTGAAATGAACAGAAGTATAATTTGCATCAGAATTTTATTAAACATTCTTTAGGTGTTTGGGATTATTCATTTAAATATTGTATTATTTTAGGAAATGTCACAGTATTGTGTTTCAAAGCAAAATTTCAAATTAAGTTGTAAATCTTGATGTATTTTGATGTTATTTTCAGTTTGTCAACTTTTTCAAGCTGTCAGCCTGTATATTGAAAATGGTTACAGTTCCGGTTACCTTCTGAAGCAGTGACGGTGGGGCAGTAAGCCCTCTGTGCCAACTGAACAAAACTAGTACAGCCTGCAGTTTTTTAGAGGCATGCACGATTTGCTTACAATTGGTTATTTTAAATTAAAAAAAATTGCTTTAGAGTTGCTTTGTTTTTTCTTACAGAATAATGCTGTACTATATTCTTAATTCTGATGTTTTCCAAGTTAAAAGGAAGTTTTATAAAAGTTTTTATAAGAAAATCTACCTTTTTCTTTACAAGGCACATAACTGAAGTTTATTCATGACTTTTTAAGCATCTATTATTTATTATAAAAAGATTTCACATAATTTATTTTATTAGAGAAAACTGTGCCCATCTTTTAGCTTCAACATGTGAATTTTGAAATTTGCTCATGGTATTATTAGATGACTTTAATGAAGGGAAAGTTGGGACATTGAATAGAAAATGAATGAATTATTTTTCATACATAATTTCAGTTGGTAATAAAGAGTAATGTATAATTTTCAGCTATTTATGGGAAAATATATTTTGTTTGTGATGCAGTAGTAATTATGGAATGTTTTAAAGGTCTAACACAACTTTTAAAATATCATCCTGAGGTGTGTTTTAGGCTCCTCTTGATCTCATTAGTTTATTTCAGATTGAGTTATGTATCTTATTGACGCCAAGTAAGGATTACTGTAGTAAGAAATATGCATTAATCAATACGATGTTATTGGCGTAAGGATGAACTGATTAAATCCGTGGATTCGGAGAGAGCCTAGACACAGACACACAGTAGGCCAGCACTCGATTCTCAGCAAAGGCGGCAGAGCAGTCCGACAGGAAGGAAATCCTTTTCAAAGAATAGAAGAGCTGAATATTCAACCTATGTGAATCAATGAACATGACCCCCACCTCACAAAAATTAATTGTAGTTGCTTCATAGACCTAAATGTACCTACTAAAACGTGTAACTCCTTTCACACATGGGTAAGTAGCTTTGTGACTAGGGATAGCCCCGTGTTTCTTAGGTCACAAGAATAACCCCAAGAGTTCTAAAATTAGAATTCATTACATTTTAAAACTTGTCAGTGAAAGACACTGTTAACAAGAGTAATTATCAAATAGTATTTTAAAAATAACTTTATAAAGCTATTATGTTCATAGACATAGAGATCTTTGTTTATTAATCTAATTCTAATAAAATTCCTTGATATGAATTTCCATAGCTTTAGAATGGCTTATTTCATTTTCCTCTTCTTTGATGATTGCAAATGCATTGTGACACTTCATGATTATTTTCTGCCTGTAAATAAAACGTATGACAAGATGTTGTCTGGGTCCTTCCTTTGTGTTGCTGGCTTGAAACAAAGACTTGAAGATGGGGGATAAAGAACTTAAAGGAATCGGGAGGATATTTTAAAGAAAATCTATTTTGTTCATTTTTACTTTTGAAATCTGAAAGTTATTGAAATCTTGTGAAATCTCCGTTATTGATTGAGTAGGTGGAGGTACTCTGATTCTGTTTCAGCTTTGCTAATAGAAACAATGAGAGCTTGTGAACAGCTGCGTTGCTGGCTAGTCTCACCTCATAGATTTAAGTCCCAAGATAGCTGCCCTTTTCCTAGCAGAGAGCAGTCAGCTGGGTCGTGCCACCAGAAAAGACAAATATTTGTTCTGGGCTCAGGACCGTGGGGATTTGCTCCCCTTTTAGGACCAAGCTATGTATTTCTTTGTATATTTTGGTGTTCCATGCAGACTGGTACCTTTGGTTAATCTTAATTGCCAATAGCATTTCAAGATAGACTTGAAGTGTTTTCTGTTCTTTTGGGAGGATGTTCTGTTTGATAGAAAGTTTAGACAAAACAGAAGAGCGAAAGCAAAGTTTCCATTGCACATAGTTCTCCCAAATGGGCTGACCGTGTTCAATATGTGTAGTGTCCCTTTTCTGCTTGTATGTACCCATTTCTGTGTTAGCCTTGGCATCTCTCCCTGTACTGTGCTTTAGATTTATGTAATATAGTGTGATTTTTAAGCTTAGTAATACTTAATTTTTACATTGATGTCGGTGATGACTTGCTTTCAGGAAACCAAGATAGCTTTTTAAGTTGAACAATTTGAGGTTAATACAGGGAAATTTGAAAGTGCCTACTAGTTCCTTGGTTTGGAGGAGTGAGCTTGAGCTTGGAGCTCCAGCCAGGACTCCCAGCAAAGCATATGCTGTGATGAGGCAGGCAGTCCCTAAGGATGCTAAAAAGTACAACATGGATAGTTTGGCTCTGGTAGAATGTCATCTTTCAAAGTATTATGAATTAATAGATCAATGCGATGTGAATGGCCTTATGTTATTTCCCTAATATATTATTAACACCTATGTTCACTGGCTAACAACATGCCTGGCCATCTTTGTTCTGGTTATATTAACTCTTTGACAGTGATAAAAATGCACAATTAAAATAATGCAGACCCAATGCGATAGTGTAGTGGTTAAAGTCCTCACCTTGCACACACCAGGATCCCATATGGGCGCCGATTCTAGTCCCTGCAGCCCCACTTCCCTTCCAGCTCCCTGCTTGTGGCCCAAGAAAACAGTCGAGGATGGCCCAAAGCCTTGGGACCCTGCACCCACTTGGGAGACCCGGGGGAGCCCCTGGCTCCTGGATTAGCACGGCTCCAGCCGTTGTGGCCTCTTGGGGAGTGAACCATCGAACAGAGGATCTTTCTGTCTCTCCTCCTCTCTGTATATCTGCCTTTCCAACAAAAATAAATCTTTAAAAATAGTAATAATGCAGTACCTTCTGTCATGATCAGAAAGTCAAAGTGATTGCAGGTATTCATTTTACAGCAGGGGCTTAAATGGACTGGCCCGTGGTAAGTACTTTGCAGTCTGTGCTGCTTTGAGAAAATACAATGCAGGGATGCCTGTTGGAGAAATCCCACCCATCACCTTGTAATAGCAGGTAATCTGAGACATTGAAAGTGGTAGCAGAGGAAGGCTAGCTGTCGTAGTTGGGAAGATCATGTAGTCACTACAAGAGTGAGCTTGTCCCTGTGTGCTAGCATTGGAGGAGGCAGTGAATACCTTGGCCGAGGAAATGGAAATTGTATCACAGTGACATAGTATGTATGACCCACTGAGTGAAGAAAAACTTCATATGTATGTATATGTATATATATGTATAAGGAAAATGTTTTGAGCTTTTACACCAAATTCTTCCTGGCTTAGGCATCAGACCAAAATTAAAATGGCTTTCTTGTGCCCTAACAGTAAGTGAATGACAGTAATAAATTAACCAATTATTGTAACTTCTCCCTAAATTCATATGAACTAGAATATAGGCAAATGCAGCTCATATTGAATAATATTGTTCCTGTGTAGTTCCTTGATACCTGCAATGCCATCCTTGTAACACTACTATTGATTCTGAGTGCTCCGTACTTGTGGCCATCCTCCATATATTTCCCATGTATTTCGTTTTACCTTAAAGCAATCCTATGATTTATTATTATCTTCCTTTCACAGAGTCTACTGTCTTTCTTGGCTCCCAGCTCAGGCAGGTGTTGGAATGCCAAGGTCATGGACTGATGGTGCTGGGAGGGCAGAGGACGCACAGGAGGTGGGGGTTGCTAGATCACGGGGACTGAGTCAGCTGCAGTTCATCTGTACTGTCTCATCTTCCTCATCTGTACTTCTTCCCATGCCCTCTCCCAGCCTTACCAGATACTCGAGCCTGTGGGACCCTCCGAGTGTGAATTGCAAATCTTCGAAACCGTGAGCCAAAATAAATCTCCTTCCTTTATAAGTAGCTGCTGTTAGATCTTTGGTTGACGTTGTGAGAAGCTGGCTAGTACGTTCATTGCAGTTATTTTTCTCCCTTAGAATTACATCATTTGTGACCTGGTGAGTGAGAGAGATCTGCAGATCAGCAGAAACAGGCATCTCTGAGGCCTTTGCTGGACAGTCACATCCTGAACCCGGGGCTCTGGTTGGACAGTAACATTCTGAGTCCTAGCCCAGAGCTGGGAAATCATGCCCACTCTACCAGGTCTCGTGTGTGCTGTGGGTGCTGCAGCTCAGCCTGGCATGGCCCATCTCACCTCAGCATTTGCCAGTGGGTGCTGTAACCTGGCATGGCCCGGTCTGCTTCTACTTCCATCTTGCACTGGTGGGTGCTGCTGTCCAACCTGGCTCGGCTAGCTCCCAGTCCCGGCCCTAATGTGTACTGGCTGATGCTGTGGTCTGACCTGGGCCATCCCGCCCCCCGTCCTGGTTCTCAGATCTGCCAGTGGGTGTTATGAACTTGCCCGCCTGGCCTGACCCCAAATCTGAGTCACACATATGCCGGTGGGTACAGTAACTTAGCCTGGTCTGAACTGCTTGTTGCCTTGGTTCTGTGCTTGCCCACAGGGACTGCATCCTGAAAAAGGAATTCCCCAAGCTTCTCTATCAGCTCTTCTCCCAGTGGCAGATACACACACTGGTGGGTCCCCAGCCCAGCTGACTTGGTCCACCTCCTGTTGTGGCCTAACTGAATGCTTTCATTTTCAACCCATCTCCATGTCAGGAGGCAATTTCCTATCAAGAAAGAATTGCTATCTCTGGTTAATATTGTCAACATACATTTCTTAATAGTTTTCCCCTGAAGTAGTGTATCTTATTTGCCAGTTATGACGCTCTGCATGTTTATTTTGGCGTGGTGAGCTTTTAGCACACTGAAGATTGTTGTTGAAATAGCTTCCAGAAATCTGGCTGCTCCTTCACATGTCAGGCAGAGGAGTACTTAATTGACAACTTAGGTATCCTCATCATGTCTTTCATGGGTAGCTTGGTCATTCTAGCCCGAACTACACTTCCTCGACAAAACTGTTGAAATCCAGTGTTAAGATGCTGAGTGTTGTGCATGCTGTGGATGTAGCATTCTCGAATTGTGTCTCCAAGTTGGAGATTGTTGGTGAGGCAGACTGTTGGGCTTAGGCATGGGCAGCTTGGACGTCTAACCCTGCTAGCCAGTGTGCGAGCTTGGCTCGATTTGAGTGTAGCACAAGTGTACTTTGTCTTTTGTTATCAAGTTCAAGTAGCATTACAGAGCAAGCAGTTGGTTTCTCTTAACAACTAGACCTTAAAACAAATATCACTGTATTAAAGCTTTATTGCCTTAAATTAAGATACACTATGGACCTCTCTTGTTTTCCCAAGGTTGGATCTAAATATGGGAAATCAGGTTATAAAGTTTCAATGCACACACACACACACACACACACACATTTAAAATTTAAAAAAAGTTTGGTTCCATTTCTAAAGCTGTTATGCCTACATGTGGGGAATCTGCCCTACTACTAACCAGCAAGCTCATAAATGTAATTGATGTTGTTATAAAGCAGTCCTCCTTGCTATTTTTAAACTCTTCAGATGGTGTGAAGGGTGTAAGCTGGTATAAACAATGTACATTCTGTCAGAGCTCCTCCAATTTGTAGCCATTTGCACACAGAATTTTTATAGCTGCTTTCCAGATGTATACTCCAAAAGGAAATGAATGCCTTTCTGTATTTGTCTTTCAATAATTGTAGACAGTTATGGAACCCAGCAACACCATGATTTAACATTTTGAATTACATGTTTTTAGCATCAATAACTAGTAAGACACGTGCCCTGCTGTAAACACTGCATGCATTCCTCTGTTATAATGATCAAGACTGAGCATTACCCATCCATTTGTTCATTCATTCATTGAAAACATATTTATGATCTGCTTGGAGTCGGGGTGAGTGCTGTGTGTTTGGGGATACATGGACAAAAAGATATGTCTGCATCATGCTTCCTGAATGACTGCAGGCTTGTGCTGGGCTGTAATTTTTTTTTTAAGATTTACTTATTTTTTATTGGGAAGACAGATCTTCAGAAAAAAGGAGAGACAAAGCTCTTCCATCCACTGGTTCACTCCCCAAATGGCTACAGTTGTTACAGTGAGCTGGTCTGTAGCCAGGAGCCACAAGTCTCCAGGTCTCCCATGCAGGCGCAGGGTCTAAAGGCCTTGGGCCATTCTTTGTTGCCTTTCCAGGTCCCAGGCAGGGAGCTGGATGCCGTTATGGGATGCTGATGTGTTCAGGTGAAGGATTAGCTTATCAAGGCATGGCACTGGCACCTAGGCTTTAATCTTGTGGGGTTATAACGCTCACTGGTGGATAGTACTACCCCTGCCACACCACAGACAGCAGGAACAACATCATGATTAATAACGGTTACCAGAAAGTTAGACAAGACAGGCTAAAATAGAACTAGTTTACCCCTACATGCGGCGTAGTATTTATGTGTTTAAACAAATGTTT